AAATCAAAATCATAATTCAAAATAAAGCGTCCCCAAAACAACCAATCACCTACCCTCTTGCTCTAGAAACCGAACATCCAAACCCCAAAAAGAAAAAGGAAAAAGAAAACACTAAGATCTGAAATCTGAAACAAAGCCTTTTGGTTTTCCTGAAATTCGCATAGACAGAAGCGGAAAGAGAGGGGAGAGAGAACTAACCGCTGTCGCCAATAAGAAGAAGCTTGATGAGGTAATCGTAATCGGCACGTGCCCTCGCAGGTGGAGCTGCCATGGCTGAGAAAGATTCTCTCTTTGAGGAGAGAAGTGATGAAAAAACGAAAAGGGTATGGGAGATCAAAGAAGAGAAGAGAGGATCGAAATGGGAGAATTTGGGTTCTTTTTCTTTTCTTTTCTTTCCTTTCTCTCTCTCTCACACTCTCTCTCTCTCTCTCTCTCTCTCTCTCTACAGTGTCACCAGTTTCCGTTACTTTATAGATCTCTTCCCACTATTTCTTTCCTTCTTTCTTTATTCACTACCAAGTGAAAGTCTTCCATATAATTGCGTCTTCGCATCCACACGCTGTCAAAATAATTCATTTTTGGCTTCAATATATAATTCTTTTATTTTATTCTATTCTTTTTTTCCTGTCATCTCATTACATTCAATAATTTTTTTCATTTTTAAGACAATTGTCAAAAAACATATTAACCTTTTAAAACTTTCTTTTTCAAGAAATAAAAAAGTTGTTATATATTGATTTCTATAGAGTTTGTAAAATAAAAATAACAACTTTTATATTGAAATCATATTAAAATATAAAAAAAAAATTAATGTTACAAATATTAAAAAATAAAAATTATCATTTATATAAATGATAATTTTTAATAATTATTATAAAAAATAACAAATTCATTATATTGTATACTTCACCAATAATTAATATTTATCATAAATTCTTGATCTATCTTTTTAATTGATTTTTTTAGTGACATTTTTTTTTGTTATCTATATATGACTTACAAAAAATGATTTCAGTATTATCATTTAAAGTGGTTGATTTTTATAATAAATAAATAAATAAAAAATTATGAACAATAATTTCTAATTATTTTAGAGTATCACAATAATTACAATTACAGATGACAAAAATACCCACATTTATGAGTATTCACATATAAAATCTGTCATCGATAATAAATAAATAACTTAAATGGATATCTATGAATAATTAATATAGATATTCTTTTACTCATTTATAAATGAGACAGTGATTAATACAATAGTATCCATACCTGTGAATATCTACTAAATAATATTATTTAAACATTTATATTTTTTATCTTACATTTTTATATTATTTTTAATATTTCAAATAAATTATCATCAATTACAAATTTAAAAATTAATACCAATTATTTATCTTTAATAGTTCAATATATTTAATATTAAATATAAACTTAAAATTATTTATAATATATTTTTTAATTTTTAAAATAATTCACAAATATTTATAAATATTCATGAATATCCACAAATATTTATAATATTTATAAAATTTATGAGTATCCGCTAAACAATTAACATGGGTATAAGATAAATTTATGATTACCAACTCCCATGAAGATCACAATTAAACTTTCTTTTATAAAAGAAAAGCAGAAGAAAAAAAACAATTATTTATTGAAGCCAGCAATTTATTATTTTCACCATGTATCCATGACAACACACAATTATACAATTATATGGAAGGCTTGTACTTGTTTTATTTTTTGGTACTGGTGAATAAAGAAAGAAAATTCAGAATAAAATAAAGAAAGAAATAGTGATAAGTAAAGGAAAGTGGTGACAGTGCAGAGAAAAGAATTAAAGAAAAGAAGGAAAACTCTGTCCCATTTGGATCCTCTTATCTGTTGTTTGATCTCTCATACCCTTTTCGTTTTTTCATCACTTCTTCCCTCAAAGAGAGAATCTTTCTCAGCCATGGCAGCACCACCTGTGATCAAGCTTCTTCTTATTCACAACAAATTAAAACACAACAACAAAGTTAGTTATTAGTTTTTTATTGGCTCAAACAATAAATGCTAACCACTTTATATAAGCCAAGCTAAAAACCACTTTCTGTCAAGAGCTGTCAAATGGGCCGTGATCCAGTCCAAATGATGAAATAAAAATGTTTTTTTTTTTACACCAATACAAAATTAAAAAAAAATAATGTTAATAATTTTATATATATTTCGACAAACATTTTAGAAATTAATATATATAACAAATTTATTACCATTTTTTATATATTATTTTTAGAGAATAATTAAAAACAACAAAACAAAAGAATAGACTAAAAAGAATTTAAATATCATTTTTAATAAATTTTACAATTTAAAAAAAAAATCAAAATATGGAGAAATAAACAAGTTGAATTGGATCTGATTTAAATAAATATGTTATTTGACTCTATCAAAATTTATCGTATTATATTTGTATAATTTTTTTTTGATGAAATCTAATCTAATCCAATCTAAGTGGATCACAAATAGATTGAGTTAAATCGATAAAGTCATAATATGATTAAATTTATTTTTTATTTTAAAAAAATAAATATTTTAAAATAGATATAAATTATTTAATATCTTATAAATATAATAATATCGAATTAAATAATGATAGAACAAATTTATTTTATTTGTATCTGCGTACAACCCTAATATCCAAAGCTAGAGAGGTAGTTGAATTTATTAGAATGGATGAAAAGTGAAAACATTAAGGAGAAAAGTTTTGATAGCAAAATTCTTGAAGATGAGAGGGATGTCTCTTCCTTGGTTCAATCTTAAGCTAAAAAAGTGAAATGGAAATTTTAAAAACATTTCAATAATTAATAATTAATAATTAATAATGATAATTGAAATTGTCAACCATTATTAATAACCGATAATGTTGAACAAAATTTTGGCGAAGTCACTTGTCACCCACCACCATTTGCCGATGGTGACCAAAGCTTGTCACTAATCAGATTATATTATGTAAATCAATATTGCAAATTAATTGCCATGATAGTGATGTGGGGTTGATTATGTGATAAAAGAGAATAATTAATCTAACACATGATAAAGTAAACATAATATAAAAGTGTGGAAATCTATATAAAAAAAACATTTTTCGAAACTCAATTTTAGACGAGCATTTTTCTTTCTAGAAAAAAAAAATGTTTACCAAACAAGAAAATAGCACTTTCAAATTTTCATATAATCCACACACCTAACCTAACATCTCATTTCAAAATTTTGGTAAACAAAAAAATGTATAATCTACATACCTAACCAAACATCTCGTTACAAAATTTCAGTAATTCATTTCTTTTCATTTTGTCATTCTCAAAAAAGGAAACACTCTTATTTTATTTTTCTTTATTGCTAAGATCCTTTGGTTGGAAACAAACGAAACGAATTAAGCAGCTACTTGAAAGCTATCGATAGATCAGTTCACAATGAGGAATTATCAATTTAGTTAAATAGAAATAATAGAAGAGAAAAGGAAAAAAGAAAAGAATAATTGGACAATATTTTTATTGTTTGATGTGTATAAACACGATCCAACTTGTTGAAAGTTCATAGGGAATCACATCTATTATAAATCAACATGTTAATACAGTTTTTTTTTTTTAAGAATAAGACATTCAAACAAAATATTAATGCAAAAATATTTAGTTTCCTTTTCTGGCACGTTTTTCGATAGTAACTTGTTTGTCCATTCCAAATTCCAATTGCATAAGGATAACAAATGAAGAATGATATATCCCCCGAAAATTCATTCCGAATCATTCTCCGACTGATTAAAAAGCTTTTTTTTTTAATTAAAAAAATTATAAATGTGAATCATAATTAATTCGGAGAAATTTTCAGTCAAAATTTCAAACGCTGTAGCATTCCTCATAACAAATGAGTACCAAAGTGAAGACCACCTCTAAAATCTAATAAAATCCAATAATTGCGATTAACATGATAAGAATAAAAGTTAATTATCCATATATTTTTAATGTGAAATTTTTTACATTAATAACCAATTATATATTTTAAATTATTTTATTTTATTTTTATTTAATTAAATAAACAAATGATATGACACTATTAAAAATATGATTAGTTGTCAGTGTAAAAAAACTTAACACGTACAGTGATTAACTCTAAAAATAAACACAACACATCCTATCCCAGTTTTCTCATGATCTATTTTGAACGTTGAAAAAAAAAAACAAATGAAGAATATGGGAACTTGGAACTATTACTATAATTATATTACATACTTGAGCGATACACGATTTATTTTAATGAATTAGATAATTTAATATTTAACTAATTACATAATTAAAAATTAACAATAATAATAAATATAAAATATAATAATATTAAGAATAAGTTAAAAAATAAATATACATTGATTTGTTACAAATTATTGAAAACTTTTTTGTAAGCAATATTAGAAAATATTTAAATCTTTATTTTCATTATCAATAACTAAAATTTTTAATCCACTCTTCGATGTAACTCTTGAAATTACTATATTGATCACGAGAAAAAACTAGTTTTTGAAAATATATTCTAATGTACTTGCTTTTAAAATTGACCTTGAGAAAATTGTTTTTATTAAATTTTGATTCAAATGCTAGTATGGAGAAGGTGTTAACGATGACTTAAGTATATATATCTTGAGATCAACTTAACTACCTGATATGACTTTTCTTTCAACATGTAAAATTAATTTTGATATTTTATTTTTTTCAATCTAGAAAAAGAATTTAAAGAAATAGTCTCCTTTTACATAAAATATTTATTTATTTTTCTTCTAATTTTCCCTTTTACTAAGTTAATTAATACCATTTTAATTTTATCAATGTTAATCAAATGAAAATAATATAAATAAAAAATACGTATTTTTTTTCATGTATAATACGATAGTTCTTTAAACTGAATAAGTAGTCAAATAACTATAAATAAAAGTATAAAAAAAAATTTCATAAGACAAAAGAAAAAGAAAAAACTTCTCATAATAAATAAGAGGTAACATTTATTTTGGTGTAATCATGTTTACATTAAATCTAAAATTTTGATTAGTCAATAGTTAATGAGAATATGAATTTGGTATTGAGGAATAGTTTCTGCCAGTGGTTCCAGATCAATATGGTATGCAACAAAACTAGCAAGCACTAAATTAATCTCGTGAAGTGCCATCTAACCTCTGCTTCTGGTTTGAGGTTGAGGCATTCTTCTTACCAATAGTCTCCGCATGAACACAAACCATCCTTAAAATGATGAAATCGATTTGCATCCCTTACAATTATTTCCCTTTCAACTAGCTTTGATATAAGCTTTATAGCAGAATGACAGTTCACACATGCTCTTAGATTCTTTGTTATTCTAAGTGTAGTTCCAGGAGCAGTACTAATAAGTCCAAAGGCAACAGCTATCCTCTCACTATGAAAACTAAGATTCTCCTCCTTCTCTTCATAATTCAGATCATGCAAAACAGATTCTGTATGTGGGACAAACCCAACCTCCTTTAACCTTCTTTCTAATCTCTGAAGCTCATTGAAAATTTCCTTAGCCATTGGGTGTGAATTGTCCCCTACATGAAATGCTTGCAGCTTCCCATTTATTTCAATTACACTGTAACCAAGGTCCTTGTTCAATCCTTTCTCCCTCATCAGAACTCGAACACGTGCAACGCAATCCCACAAGCGGGAGGAAGCATAAAGATTAGAGAGTTGAACATAATGCCCTGTATTATATGGATCCAATGAGAATAGCTTCTTTGCTGCATGTTCTCCCAATGACACACACCTATGGATCTTACACGCACTCAGAAGTGCACCCCATACACTAACACCAGGTTCTATTGGCATTTTAATTATAAATGCACAAGCCTGACCCAGATAACCTGCTCGTCCCAGGAGATCAACCACACAGGAATAATGTTCATTGCGAGGCTCAATTTCAAAGTCTTTCATGCAATGAAATAGCTCCCATCCCTCTTTTACAAGGCCAGAATGATTGCATGCTGTGAGAAGCCCAATGAAGGTGACATCATTTGGGAATACCCTTGCTTGCTTCATTGCATGGTAAAGCTTAATGGCTTCCCATCCTTGGCCATGCAATCCATATCCCATAATCATGGCACTCCACATGACAACATCCTTATCAGAATTACGATCAAATACCATGCGAGCAGATTCTACACTTCCACATTTTGCATACATATCAATGAGGGCTGTGTTAACAAAAATGTCACCTCCATATTTACTCTTGCTGACATAGTCATCCATCCATCGCGCTAATTCAAGGGAACCAACTTGTGCACTAGCTAAGACTGCAGATCTCACCGTGACAGAATCTGGTTTGATGTTTCTCGAGATCATGTAACGAAATAGGTCTACTGCTTCCTCAGCATGACCATTCTTTGCGTAGCCAGATATCATTGCATTCCACATAATCACGTTTGGTGTCTCCATTTGATCAAAGAAAGATCTTGCAACTGTCACCAGTCCACATTTAGCATAAAAAGCTGTAAGTGAGATAAGCAAATCAGGCTCATCTTCAAGACCCATCTTGATGACACAACCATGAAGAGATTTCCCTTGCTCTAAGTCATCTACATCAGTATAAGCTCTCAGAATGCTTACCAGCGCAATCCAATCCGGTTTCACATCAGCATTTCTCATTTGACTGAACATTCTCAATGCTTCCATAGCTTCCCCATTCTGTGCATATCCAGATATGATGGAAGTCCATGAAACAATTGTTCTATCATATAACCCATCAAACACCACTTTTGCCACACTAATGTGACCACATTTGGCATACAATGCTACAAGGCCATTCTGCACAAACACATCCGATCCAAACCCATATCTGATTATCTGCCCATGAATTAATCGACTCAAACCAAAATCTAACAACTCAGTACAAGCTTTAAGTACATAAGGAAAAGTGAATCCATCTGGACGCACTCCTGTCCACCTCATCCATTTATACATTTCAACGGTGTCCCTGAACATATTGTTCCTTGAATAGCTCCTAATGATGGCATTCCACATAAACACGTCGGGTTCACAAAATTCATCAAACAGCTTACGAGCATACCAAATTTGCCCAAGATTTGAACTCCCATTAACCAGTTTGGTCATGAGAAACCCATCATGTTGCAACCCGGAGACAACTAACTGGTTATGTATCTGTTCAAGGTGTCTCTTGTGGGTAGAATCATCAATAAGAGACGCGTAGAAGAAGTCTGAGTTGAAGCAACAGTCATGGTTAATGGAATGTTGAGGGTAAAGAGCTGGTGAAGAACAAAGATATTTGACAAACTTGAGGAGCAAGCACGTGGGCATTTCAAAAGTTGTAACCTTTTGGTTTTTTGTAGTAAGGAGAGATGAGCTAAAGAGTTTCCAAGCCATTGAATTGCGTCCATTATCTTTCAATGTTTGCTTGTAAATCCTAAACTCATATTAACCAAAGCACTTGAATTAGATCAATAGGGATCTAAATAGAACACATTGAAGCATTTAGTCAAACACTTAGGCTACGTTAAGAGCGGTGGTGACACAACAACTAGTTGGAGCATTTAGTCGAACACGTAGGCTAATCTGTATAACTAAAAACTTGAAGATCAATAGAAAATAGAAAGCGTAATGAGAACTAACCGCTGTCGCCAATGAGAAGAAACTTGATATGGTAATCGTAATCTGCCATCACTCAGGAGTGATTACGACTCTGTCAAGCTTAACATTTTCATTAGATGAACTTTTCGCCTTCTCTGACTACATCAGCATTTTTTTTTCTTTTAAAAAAAAAATAAAATTATTAAGTAAAAATTATCCATGACCAACGGTAGAACCTACAATCAAAGACCCTTTAATTAATTAATTAATTACTTTGTTCTGTATCAGTTTCTTTGGAGTTAACTGTCATAAAATTGATCTTCATATGCTGCTTTGTTGGGAGAGGGGTAAGGGTGGAATAGAATTCTCATAATTAATTAATTTGATAGGAAATATAATTAAATTTGTAGATATTTGATAGAATAAAATTAAATAATAAAAAAAGGAAATTTAATATTTTCAAAATATATTTTATATAATCAGATTTTTATGTATAAATATATTATTTAAATAATTATATTTTTATTAACTAATTATTTAGATAATAGTATAAGAGTAATCTTGTATATATAATTTTTTTTTTGAAAAATTCATACAAATTTATCCTTAAAAAAGTGTTACTAAATCTATATGAATTCAACACAATTTCTTTATAAATTTGTGTAAATCATTTTTTTCTAAATACACATGTTTTTTAATTATTTGATAATCTTTCTTTTCCTTTTTTTATTCCTTACTAAATCACATCTCTCAAAACACAGTAATAATATATTAAGATTGATAATCAGATAATAATATGCATTAATAAAACATGACTTTACTGTGCCAATATTAACATATTCAATTATACGGTGATTTGAGTTTCTGTTATTTGATCATTATGCTTTCATCAGAATGTTATTATCTTATAGCAAGGTGTTACGGATTATAAGGAAGTGTTAAATAGTATTAAACTGCGTTCATGAAAGTAAATTACTAGTTCTGTCTATGATTGTTCTTTTAGTTATATTAGTTGATATTATAACCTAGGTTTGTGTTTCTCATAATTTCTGCTCTAATTTTGAATTTTAATTATGTCTTTGTATCTCTTATAAGAGGTTGAAGTACCCCTTGTACTTCCTTTAATTTAAATCTCTTTTACTTATAAAAAAAAGTATAACATGGAAATAGTATGACAAATAAAAAAGAAAATTAAATCACTAAAATTTGTTACTATATTTGTATATTTCTATGTTATCAAAAATAGAAGGCTATTGGAGTATCTGTATTGCAGGACCATTACACACGCCACCCTGATTAAGCTTGGTTAATGAATTAAAAAATTGCTATTCTGATGCTTAAACCTAATAATCTTAAACTCAAAGTCGTAATCAACATTAATTTTGAGAAACCTGAATTAAACATGAAAACCAATCAATTTGTTCTTTCTCTCCCCTCTTTTGAATTACAGCCACCGGTATAATGTCCTGACTAACTTCTGCAAATTTCAATTAACCTAAAATTAAATTTTCCACTTACCAAAAAGTACAATACCCAAAATATGTTAATGCAAAAGTGCTGTTCAATTGAACATACATTATTTATTTCATTTTCAAATAATTTTTTCATAAATTATATTCCTTTATATTATCCTTATTATAAGATACAATTTAGAAGGAAATAATTTTTTTTATAAGATACTTTATGATTTTTTTATAAAATATTAATTTTGTTTTTCATCTTTTATATCTATTAAATAATGTGAGAATACATGTTTTTTGTTATTAAATAATGAAATAAGAATTTGATAAATAAATATTATATCTCATCTCTTAAAATTTTCAATTGTCATTTATTGATTTTATTAATATTGAAACAAACACTTTAACATGGAATAATATCTTCTTTTTTTTCTTTCAAAATTTAATAATAAGTAAGAAAGGTAAAATTGATATATAATGACTTTATTTTATAATAAAATTGATAAAATAAACTAATATAATTATTTATATTGATATGTGTTATTCAGCTAAAAATATCTTATAATAAAGATGAGAATGAGTATAACTTATTAAAAGAAATTATTTTATTTTTTCTCTCATAAATATTTATAGAGAACCTTATTCAAGCAACAAGAGTGTCAACATTCATCCAAAAAATTTTAATGCAATACTTTCTTAAGCTTGGTTGCCTTTGAGTGTTTTTTTTTGCCTTAGACAAGGTTAAAAAATAATGTCCTTACAATTATTTGAATATTATTTATGATTTCAATTCTCAAACTTAAAAGTGTAAAACACACAATAATTAACACATAATTATTAAAAAATAACTAAATATACGATACAATTTTACGAGATTATGAGTTATTATTAGAGACTACTACACATTAAAAAAAATAAATGAGTAATAATGATATATCATAAAAAAATTCACGATAAAGTGGTGAAGGTCTACGATTAAATTTTAAGATTTCAACAAAATAAATAGGTCAAAATTTAAAAAAATAGAAAAATAATTAAAGAAATTAGAGATAAAGAGAAAGTTAAAAGCAACCCTTATTTATAATTTTACATTAACACTTATGAAAGCTTTCATTGAATGAAAAAAAAAGGAAATAAATCAATAACATGCTACATTTTTCTCTTTACATATAATATTATTGATCTATTTCCATAAAATTAAGGCAAGTTTTTTTTAATAAAAAATATAATTATTGATTTTTCTCAATAAACTGTTTAATTTATTTTCCCTAATACATTTTTATACAATTTAATTATATAAGTTTTTACTTTTATATTATATGGACTAAATATAATTTATTTTTGTGCCCCACGAACAACGAGTCCTAGGCGGTTGCCCAAGGCCACCTCTGTTATAGATGTTTATGTTACACTAATTAATAGTTAATACACACTTTATCCATTTGCAGGAAGACAAGGTACTAATTAATCAAACTCAAGTCAACATTAGATGAAAGCGAAATCAAACAGATGACAAATTTAGCAGTTACTTACTAAACCTGGCATACAATAAAAGAGCCTTATCTTCTCAAAACTCTGCTTTCCTAAATAAATATATTCCTTTGCTACACTCCAAAGACATCAGTGTGGACCAAATTCTTTAAGTTCCCTTAATTCTCTGATCAAGGCCAAAATTCTCTTGAGAGTAATTAGCTCTTAATTGGCTCAAATCTTTAAGCATCCTCTCTAGCGGAGCTTTTCATTGGAAGGAAAACAAGACATTTGCATAAGAGGTACTATTAAGTTGTATTTGGTTTTTGTTATGGCTAGCCTTTCATGTATGAAATTCTACAGCATTTTACACCTTTGGTTTTGGCTGTTGGATTGTATTCTTCATTACTCGGGAATTATTCCAACATGTCAGCAACATGAATGATTGAGACTGTTTTTTGCTAGTTCATGCAATTTTGTGTATTAATAACTAGCTATTTTATTGTATAAGAACTCCATGTGTATTAATACCTATTTAAAATCCTTTTTCTGTCCACCAAAGAATCTGCATTTAAATTTGAGTGCATGTCTATAATTTTGTGCTTCAAATTGTTTCAAATTTCAATCCTCCTTAAGCAAACAAATCCTTAACCATAATCTTCTGTTCCAATTCCTAAAGTGCAAAGTCATCTTAATGCAACAGCAAGATCATTTTCTGCAATTAAACCCCTTGGTGACTTGAACTATTTCTCATGTCAAGGCACATATATACTTTTCTCAACATATCCATTTAATTGAACTAAATCTTTTCCATCTTGATGGATCTGCAGGGGCCAACATGTCAGAAACTAGTCCTTCTACCATTGATATTGCAAAAATGAGAAATGCTCTTCTGTCATCTATTTCTTCAAGGCTTCACTGCTATGGTAATAATACTTCAAAGTTACTAATTGCAAACTTTTTGAATATGCACACTTAATCACCAAGCTTTTGCTGAAATTGTTTGGTAATTCAGGAAACAATGAAGTTCAGTTAGATATTTTAGAGCGTTCCATGCAGATGAACGACCTAATGTAAGTCAATTAATGTTATCCGAACACTAGCTTGTGCAATCTGTCTTTCATTGTCGCTGTGAAATAAACGAATCAAAGTGAAAGAAGTAGGTAAAATTCAAATTTGTTCTTTAATATTGCACAATAGGTTGTGTGTATCTATGTCCTTAATTTCGAGTTTCACCAGGTTTAGCTTGCCAGAATTGGGAACATTGTGAAATCGGATTCTATTTACAATATAAAGTATAATTCCATGTTTGGTATCATCCATTAATAGAAATTTATCAAAGACAAATCAACATGATAATAAATATAGGATTCTATTAAAGCATAGAATACCATTATTTCATATCCTCGATTTATGATTATTACTAAATACCAATCGACATTATAATACAATCAAACTAGACCAGACAAAGCTTATTCCTTGAAATTGTATTTGTTTAGCCAAAACTGGTTTGAAAGAGTGCAATTTTTTACGAAGTTTCGTATTACTTTTATTATATAACATGCACAGAAAGAATCTTTGACTATTTAACGATGCTCTAAGGTTGATTAAATTAAGAAAATTAATTCTATCATTTTGAGATAGATGAGTTGAAGTGATCCAGCTTGGCATACCCTTCTGTCCAGATGCTTTTCATGTTTAATTCTGATCGTACTTCTGAAAAGAATTTGACACTTAAAAAGAAATATTATTTGTACAACAAATTTAGGATTTTGAGAGTGAAAGAGGAATAAGTGATAAGTATGAGATGTAATAAATGATGTAATGAACAGAGATAAAAAATAAAAAATAAAAAAGACTGTTGCATGCATAAAAATTGCAAATCCTGGTTCACTTCATAGAGTTCTTTGTAATACACTCTTTAATGGTTACTTTCATAGAAATGACTTCAACATGGAGTCTAGAATGTTCAACAATGACAGCCAATTGGGTAAAGGAGACTATACACAGCCTAGCCAGTCTCAGTCTCTGATATATGACCACAATCATCATCCAGGTTTGGTTCATTTCCTTTTCAATACTAGATATTAGGAGTGCCTTTTTCTCCACCTACTCTGCTTATTATATGCTCACTTTCCCTAGTCCCAATGCCAATATTGAAATATAATTTTGTTTCTTAGTGAAAACCGTGAAAGTTTCTAATAATTGAAGCTAATACTTGGACAGGTAGTCTTTATGGCATCCCAAGCAGCAAAGACATTTCTCAGCAATCATTGTTACTTGACAAGGACCCTTTTCTTTCTCAATATGAAAGAGTACGCCTATAATTGAATCATCATTCATCTGCATTATAAATTTCCAACAAATGATTTCTTTTTGAGAATTTATAGTTTCATAATAAGAGTTACTTCAAGCTGATCAACAATCCCTGACTCAAATTGATTAATGTTTTCAATGGAGATTGGAAAAGTAAATGAAGTATGAAACTCTTAATTTAAAGTCAATGTGGGGTTTGCAGGTATATGGAAAGGCCAGAAAAAGTCCATTTGAGTACACTGGCAACATGCCCTTGTGGAAAAAAATGAAAAGCAAAATCACGATCATGGAACCGAAATGGTATCAAACAAAAGAAGTTCCAGAGATAATCCCTCCGCACAATGTAAAAGCAAAGCTATTATTCATTTTGTGGTTTATTACTGTTATTCTTGAGATAGCAATGAAACTTGTGTACAACTGACTGTACAAGCTTAAATTCATCGAAGAGTGAGACTGCAAGAGAAGGGCTAAAATGAGTTGAATTTAGAATTATAAACTACTATAATATAGCTGTTAGTATTTTACATTTCTGGGTGTGTTTGAAATCAATTGAATTGAATTGAAAATGAAAAAAAAAATTACATTCATAAACTTTTACTTTTTATCTGGGAACACGTGTTTTTTCATTGCACATGATTTTAAGCTAGTATTAAAACATATGCTTATAGATTAAATTAGTGATACGAACACATTACTTTGGGCTTGAAATGTACTTTATAGATTCCTATCAATTAGGCACTGAGTGTCGCATCTAACCGTAAGCCTAAATTTTTTGTTCTTTTTGCCTTCAGTTGCATGTGCCCATGAAGAGAAATCAGAAGCTTAGCGATAAAGTTACAACTCTACAAAGGTTGGTTTCACCTTTTGGCAAGGTGAGTGAGTCATGCATGATTTCTAACCCCTAAAGAAGAAAAGTTGGATCTCATTTTCTTACTAGTTAATAAACACCTTCATCTTTAAGAAAGTGACCTTACATATTTGAATATCCTGCAGACCGACACTGCCTCGGTTCTTCATGAGGCTTCTATTAATATCAAGCTTCTTCAAGCACAAATCCGGGTACACATTTGATACCCTATCTCTAGGAAGAAAAATATATAACCATAAAAATAATACTTACATGTTTATCTGCTAAGAATACGTTCCCCTCTACCTTTTTCCTTTTGGGTTGAAACTAGATTATGAAGAGACTTCAACAACTTATTTTGAGTCTACTCTAATTTAATCCTTTATTCTGGGATTGTAGACTTTGTTTCAGATGCTGAGCTTCTCTTACTTTAGTACGATTAAAGATCCCCATACACAGGTTGATTATTAATTATCATACTGTACAATTGCTTCATCACTTATTGAATTCCAACATATACTAAATACTATGGAGATATATTATCTTGTCCCTGGTCATTTTGTTTCTTAACTGCTGGTGTCACCAGGAATGTGGGGACCAATTGCAGGTTGACCTAAGGAGCAGAGGACTTTGTTTGGTTCCCATATCAATCACAGAGAAAGTAACAATGGTAGACCAGATTCATCACGATTCAACCTCAAGAATTATTCACCCTTGAAATTTCTAATTCAATAATTATGAACTGTATGATGCTGACAATGAACATATTTAGGGACATCACTCCCCTGTAAGCTTCGGACTTGGCGCAGTATTTAATATAATGCAAGTAACGATAATCTTGGATTTTCAGAGGACATTCTTAAATGAATTTCATATTACACTTCTCACAAGAAAATAATTGATTGCAAACATCAATTAGAACATGTACAAAGCAAAAGAGTTAGACGTGCATGCTTGTATCAAGAACATGAGACATGAAACCAAACCCACGAGTTTATTTTGTAAGCTTTATTCTTCAAGCTTTTGGTCACGACTTCGTCTAATCCTATTTCCACTCAAATTTTAGAAGAAAGCCACAGCCAAAAAATTCTTACCATGTCTCTTCCAACCAAATACAAAAGCCAAAGCCAACGGTAAAAGATGCTTATGGTACACCGTTAACCGAAAAAGCCAACTTCACAATATCAATATGAACTCACAATTATATTCCATTATCAAGTAAAATGTCCAACTACCATTATATCACTATATCTATATACTATAAAACTGTAAGTTCTCTCATGTTTCAATTGGTTTAATTTGTTTTTCGTCAACACAAGCCCAAAATCACACCAGCAGCGGTTCTTTACAGCTAATCACAGTCGTCAGAAATTACATTGAATGTCCACCAACCATGTTGTAGTCGCCTGCCGACTGGTATAACTCGTAGTTCTCAGGTGCTTCTATTTTTCCAGTAAGATAGTCGCTACCTGCAAAAATTAATACAACTATCTTGATTATCAAGTTCTTCGATAAAGAAAGGCTCGTGTATGAAGATATAGTAACCCTTTGCCGAATATACAAATTAAAACTGGAAAGGTAATTTTCACTACACCCAAGTTCAATTACTACAGTCCATACACTATAGTCTAATTAAATTCAAACACAATAAAATGAGATTCATCAAAATGGTTTCTAGACATGCACGAATATGCAAAGTGTAGCATATAGGGATCTTTAAACAGGGACAATACTTAAATCAAGTTCCTTATATACTTACAATTCAAATGATGACACAAGAATATTCTTTCCAATAACGAATAATTTCCATTCAATATGTATTGTAGAATTTTAAATAAATATGCACGTGTCATTATTTAATTGGAGAAGTAACGAACTTGATCTAAACTTTGCCCTATAAATAAATAATTATATAAGGAAAAAAATCTCAAATGCAGGAAAGTAAATAACTTATGAGAGATAACTATTTTGCTGAATTGGAGGAAATAAACATCGGAACACGTGTCACAAAAGTTTACATGAGAAGACACCCAAGGCAGGGAGCACCAAATCAGAATTGAAGAGAGGGACTAACTAACTGCCTCGGGCAGTGTCAGCAAACTAGGGCGTGTGGTGTGAATGAGAGAGGATATAAGCATGGGTAAGAGGTATGGTTGGAGGAGGGGAATGGAGACTTGGGACCTTGTGAAAGAGCTAGTCCTCTTGAATGCCAAGAGTGATTTTTTAAATTTTCTTCTCCATAATAACACTGCTATATACTTATGTCCTACTCCTATATCACCTTGATAAAAGGCCTAATACTAAACAGTATAGCACATTTAATCTCTCTTTTATATTGATTTTTTGGTACCTATCAACTGGTATCAGTGCTCTCAATCTTGATAGCTTGAATGGTCATTAAAAAGGCTGCGATCCAATCTAGAGTCAAGCATTTGAAACGAAAAGAGTGCAAGCGTACCAATCAGAGTTGGGAAATATCAAGCAATTGTTGCTGTGGAGAGATCAAAATTGTTCTCAAGGACGATTGGAATGCTGATGATTCCCTTCAAGATATGCTGATGAAGAGAGTTATTGAAGAAGACTGCAAGTTGCAATTGTGAACCAGGTGGAAGGAGGGAAGTACACTACCGCTTTGCAACACCAGCAGAAAGAAGCTGAAAATTTCTATTCTCAATGGTGAAGATGCCTATGAGTGGATTGGGCAAATGGAAGGTATTTCAAGTTGAATGTGGTGAGATAGAACGAATTATGAAAAAGATGTTTAATGCTAGAATCATCGGGTGCTAAAGTAGTAAAGGAGGATGGGGAATAGAGGTTTGTGTAGACTTCCGGGCCCTAAACAAGCTGGCCATACATGATAAGTTTCCAATTCCCATCATAGATGAGTAGTTATATGAGTTGGGGACTGTTATAATTTTTTCTAAATAGGATTTGAAGTTAGAGTGCCACCAAATTCGCATGAGAAAATATGATGACCCCATAACAACTTTTAGAATTGACTTTTGGTTTAACCAATGCCCCTGCTCCCTTCCAAGCTTTCACAAACTGGAATCTCAAACCTTATTTCAGGAAGTTTGCATTGTTTCTTTTTAATAACATTCTGATTTACAGCAAAGATGAAAGTAACAAGCTATAAGTTAACAGAAATAAATCTTCTTTTAACCATAACAGGCTGGAATACTTGGGCACATCATCTCTTAACAGGGGGTTTCAGCAGATCCTAATAAGGTTATAGATATGTTAGATTGGCCCACCCTGCAGATGTGAAGAGGCTTAGGGGGTTCCTTGAGTTGACAGGTTATTATAGAAAATGTGAGAAACTATGGGAAGATAGCTTTTCTTTACCAATTTTATGGTACCTATCAACTCATTTCCAACTTATAACATTAGAGAACACTAACCTTCCCATTACTTAACTAATACAGAGACAAGCATATGAAGAAAGCACAAGAAGTTACATACTTGAGTTTGATAGCAGCCCATCAAAAACAGGCACATCAAAACTTCTCGTGGATGTTAAACTGCCATCAGACGTGAACACAGAATCCGGGTTGTTGGACTCTGGATTCATGTACTGCAAATTATTAGTGTTCTGGAAGCCCAAATTATCAGCAGGACCCGCAGAAACGCTAGATGGGGACTGAAACTCGTCCGGCTTTGTCTTCTTATCTTTAGAATCAACCTCAGTCTCCACTTCTGATTCACCATTAACACTAGGCCCCACACTCTGCTGCTTTCTTTTGGAGCGAGCCCGCCTGTTTTGAAACCAATTGTACACATTAGTCTCAGAAATCTGGCCATGCTGGCTGAGCTCAGCAGCAATCTCCTTGATCTTTTCCTTGCTGGGAGTTCCAGTCCCCTGCTCAAACATCCGCTCCAAAATCTGAAGCTGCATAGCCGTAGGTGTCCACCTCTGCCTCGAAGCTATTTTGTGCCCACTAGACCCCAACAATGGATCACAATACACATTTCCCATCCTAATCCCTGACAATGAAAACACCAATTAATCATCATTATTATCACACATAAATAGTATATGTGTAAAGAATTTTACATTGTTAATTATCATCCTAAAAGTCACAACAGACAATAATACGATGACTTCTAATTGACAGATACTCCTATAAAAAAAAAAAATTACACTAATAATGCATAAAATCAATTAATTGATTTCTTTTTTTATAAATAATCATATTATTGATTCCAAGTATTTCCGTGGAAGAACCTGACTAAAATGTCTCTTCCCTCTCATTCATGTTCTTTGTATCTACAAGATTCAAACCGACACATTCTTGAGAGAATCAAATTATTATTCAATTACAATAACAATAATTATCTCATCAGTCATATCAGACAATAAAACGATGACTTCTAATTAAATAGATATTAAAAAAATACACTAATAACACATTATAATTAATTAATTGATTTTTTGAATAATTATATTATTAATTTGAAGTATCACCGACTCGTCAACCGCTAATTTTCGGTGCCACAAACAATTTGTAGGTAAATTATTTCCTATTTAGATAACGATGCCTCTTTCAAATTCAATTCAATAAACAAGTGCTGGTTATGAGAACCTAAATTGGATTCCTTCAATTAATTAGCACATACGTTATACTTCTATATACATCGTATAATTTAGCAGCGCAGTAGGAGAAACACTTTAGGCAGTTCACTAAAATAAATTAAAGTAATTAAACGCTACGTCTGATTTAATATTAGTTTACAGAAACGGTTAGGGAAAGAATATTAAAACAAGGAATACAA